TTGAAAAGTTGTGGGACTCATAAAATATGTGGTTAAAATTGATTGGTTAGATTAAAATCTAGATTTTAATTTGCACCAAACAAGGATTGGATGTCATTACTTATCGTGAACATCTTTTCGGGTTCATTTGGCCCCTATTTGGTGTAGATTAATTTTAACCGTACATTTCATAGGATCCAATAACTTTTCAAACCACACATTTTATCAACTTTTATCAAAATTTACTAAAAATCTAATTTTAATCTGCACCAAATAGGGGCTTAATAAATAAGAGAGACCACTAATATCAGTTAAATGAGTTGAATCATGAAGATCTTTAATACGCCTAACTATTATGGACTCCACTAGGGCATAGATTACATATACGTCAATTATATTAAACACAGAAAGTTGTGAAATATTCAAACAAGACCAATCCCAAGACACAAAGTACTATAGCTTGCTGAAATACACATCTGGCTCTAATTAAAATATAATTAGTAAGGCACCCACCTCGTGAAGCTTCTTTCTCCTTCCTTTCGACTCAATGGGAAAGCGTCTAAGCATGAAAAATAACCTATCAAGGGAGGGGCACCAAATTGACTCTCAATAAGGGGGAAAATATATGCAAATTCATATCCTTAAAAACCAGTTTAAAGAATTAATATAGCTTCAGATAATTAAAGCAACCAATATGACAATTTTCAAATATTCACCTTCCGCCATACAGCAAGAAACCTAATGCAGCTATAAATGATACCACTGTAAAGTCCAAAGAATACGAGCAAGCTTAGCCAAGTCCAGAAATCTAGTTTCCAGAATATTAAGAAAGTGAAAAATTTCAAACTTGCATAACTGGAAATTGTGAATGAGAAATAAATAGAACGAGATTAACCTGCCATAAATATCTTGCCAAGAAATTCCACAGCACTGTTGTCATCTATCCAGAGGTATACCCAGATACAGACCTGATGTCAACACCTTTTTTCTTATAAGATTCTACATATGTATAACAAATGATAAGACAAATCTATAAGACCATTTTCTTTTATTTTGCTATCCAATGAGGGTGTAGAATAATGGGCTGACTATGTGACCAATAATTTTAGAGCAACTAAACACACATAGTTATTTCAGTTGGACAGCCTTCATACTAGAGCACAAAATGGCAAGGAGGGGAATGAAAGATCAGTCTTTCTCTAAGAAAACTTGAAGCACATAGTATTTGAATTCATGGTCCTATCATAAAATTATGTGCAAGATATTTAGCCCCTGTTTAGTTTAGCTAAAAATAGAATTTTTAGTAGTTTTGATAAAATTTGATGAAATACGTAGTTGAAAAGTTGATAAAAGTTGTGGATCGCATGAAATATGTGGTTAAAATAAATTTGAGGGAAAAAATGTATTAGAAAATGGAGGCCAAGTAGGGGCTTAATTTAGAAATCTCCTACTGCGAAGATCTTGTTATCTGATCACTTTAAAACTCTAAAAGGAGGCTTTTATTCTGGTGCAAACGGAACAAGAATAC